ATTATATTAGCTCTCATGAAAATAAATTAAAGATTTTGCTTTTAAAAATTGCTCTTCTTTGAAACTGATCTCAATTTTCTCTTCTGTAATATCAATTGAAAAAAAAAATTTTTTTTGAATGATGCGCTACATTTGTAGAAATTGAAATTCCTTCTTCTGTGACTTCAATAAGGTGTAAGTAGCAATTCCTTCTTCATCATTATGCACCTCAATGATGAACGATTTTGAAAAACAGAATCCCTAATTTTAATTACAAGAGAATGAATATCAGTTTTCGAATAATATTTATCATTGAAGCAAGTCACAATTCTTTGTTCTGTAATCTTAACAGACAGTTTTTCCTTCAATTGATGTTTATCATTATCACAAATTGAATAAATAATTATTTTTTATATAAAATCGATAACCAGCAATTTTCCCTCCTATTATCAAAGTATCACTAAAGATATTTATTGAAGGAATTAATAAAATTGAATAAATATATCGTCATATATTAAAAAAACGTTTTCTGGTTATTGATTTTTTTCTTTATTTGTTAACCATATTTTTTTTTGTTATTTCAAAAGAATTTATGAATATTTTGAAAGACAGTATTAGCTATATCATTGATGAAAGTACCAATATAGCAAGTTTGGTTGGATGTGAATTAAAAAATAATAGCATTTTCATTCCAAGATCAATTGAATATGATTCTCGTGAATTTATAATTACGTCAATCTCTGATTGTGCATTCAAAAACTCAATGAATATCAAATCGATTCAATTTCCTCCCGATTCAGAACTCCAAATAATTGGAAAAGAAGCCTTTTCCTCTTCTACGATAGAAAGCTTCACAATTCCGCCTCATCTCACAAAAATTTGTGAGCGCGCCTTTTATTTGTGCCAAGAACTAAAGAGTATTGAAATGATGAGCGACTCAAAACTTCAAACAATTGAAAAAGATGCGTTTTCCAAATCCAACATTGAAAGCCTCTCAATTCCATCGAGCATTTCTGATCTGCAAGAAGGCTGGTGCAATCAGACGTGGAAATTACAGAGCATCCTTATTATTCCAAGTAGTGAATCGAATATTATTTCATTTGAGAATAAATTCATTCTTGGAAAATCAAGTCAAAAAAGTGACATTTTTGATGTCCTTCTTTTTGCCCGCCGAGACATCAAGGCGGCAATTGTGCCTCCCTCTGTCAAGCGGATTGCTTCATTTGCATTCAGTGGATCATCAATTGAGAGCATCACAATTCCATCGTCCGTTTCGCAGTTTGATGTTGGCTGGTGCGGCTACACCGAAAAATTAAGTGAAGTCAAAATCACGCCTAGTGATGAAACAAGCATCATTTATTTTGAAGACAAGTTGATTCTTGGAAAGACAGACTCAAATAGCGATGTTTATGATGTTCTTTTGTTTGCCCGAAGAGATGTCAAAACCGTTAAAATACCTTCATTTATTAAACGTATTTCGTCTTATGCGTTCGGCCAATCAACAATTGAAAAAGTTTCAATACCAACTGAAACAACGCACATTGAAGAAGGTTCTTTCATCCTATGTGAAAAACTATTAAATGTTGAAATTCCTTCAAATTCGAAATTGAAATTTATTGGAAATAACGCATTTGCTTATTCATCAATTGAATGCTTTACAATTCCACTTCACCTCACTGAAATTGAAGAATGCACTTTTTTCTACTGTGTACATTTGAAGCATGTCGAGATTCCAAGAGAATCGGAATTAAGAATAATTGGAAAAGAAGCTTTTTCTTATTCTGCAATTGAAAAAGTTTCTTTTTCACGTCACGTCACAATGATTTGTGATAGCGCGTTTTACACATGTCAACAACTTAAGAAAATTGATTTTCCAGATGATTCTGAACTGCAAATAATTGAGAAAGAAGCTTTCGCTTTTTCTTTGTTTGAAAGTTTTTCGGTTCCGCCACGAGTTACTCAGATTGGCAAAAATGCGTTTTTTGGGTGTTGCGAACTGCAGTTCATTGAAATCCCAGAAAATGCAGAGTTTCAAATGATTGAAAAATCAAAATTCGGAAGCTGCCTGTGTAGCACAGTTTTTATTCAACAAAATAAGGAAAATATCTTAATTTAATTGATAATAATATTGTAAAATTACCTATTAATTTATATAACAACTATTTTCTTATTATTGCCGTTAAATTACAAGTTAGGTGAAAACGGATTTTCACTTTTTGAAACGAACTATTTTCACTTTTTGATATAATTATATTTTAATGCTTTTGAATTTTGCAAACATTGATGTTCCAATTTAAAATTGTATTAAAAATAAATACAACTTTTTGAATTAAGTTTCACAACTTTTTGAATGATTTTGTAAAACTTTTTGTTAAGACTTTCTAAATGATATTTTTAGATTCGTTTCATTCTCTATTTCATTCGTTTCATTAAAAAAATTATATAATATTGGAAATAAAATTCTTATTTATAAAAATTTAATTAAAAATTGGTTGATTTAACATACCATCGGTGGTAGCGAAACATACAAAATTCTGGTCAAATTTTGAAAGATAAGGTTGGCTTTGAGTTTCCATTTGTTTTGGTGTCATTTTTGGATTAGTTGACAAGAACTTGAAGAAATAAAAAGTGAAAATACCTTGATCTTTTGAACCAATTGTTGTTTGTTTTGCTGTTTGCTTATCTCTTGCAGCAGATATTGACAAAAGATTAGGTGGAACTGTCAAACCGCGGAATGATGCAGATTGAAGATCATAAATTGAACCACTGTGGCAGCAATCAGTAAGTAATAAAACCTTGCTTGTTGGCTTCTTTTCTGATTTGCAAAGGATATCTGCTAAGTCATCATCAACTACGAAATCATCATCGAAAACCATTGCTTCATCGTATCCGTCTTCTTCATCGCCATTATTATCTTTAACACTTGCACCGTGACCAGTATAATAAACAACCAAGTATTCTGTAGTCCAGTGATAGAAGTATCGAAGATATTTCAAAAATTCTGAAGATTTTGGATTATGTACGTAATAAACATCAAAACCAATATCTTTCATGTAACTGGCGACAGTAATTGAGTCATTCATTGGTCCAACTCCCAATGAATATTCTGGTCTGGTATATGTATTGCAGCAAATTAAAACAGCTTTTTTAATATCTTGTCCTTTCAAACTTGAAAGCTTTTTAATATCCTTAGCAACTTCATCAAGTTCGCATGAATTTTCTTCAACAGTTCCTTGTTCATGTTGCTCTTCCCATTCTTCTTGGGTGAAGTCTAATTTAAGTTTAGAAAGAATTGTCTTGCCGATTTTGCTTTTAGCAATTTTTCCCAAGATTTCTTTTCCTTTTTTGGTGTTGGCTGCTTTAGCAATTCCAGATTTAATTTGAGCTTGAACCTTCTCATCCTTTAAGGCATTAGTAACTGTCTTGAACAATGCACCAAACTTAGCTTTTTTGGACATTTCCAGAAAAAAAAATGATTTCTTTTTTGAAATGAATATTTCGTTACTATCAATGCTCTCAAAATTTTGTGTTTTTTGAAAGAATTAAGCTTCTTTAGTAATTGCATTTATTAAAGATTTGCGATATTATAACCAATTATGAAGATTGCAAAGGGTTTGTGTTGAACGAAAGAAAGTGATATAATCATATTAAGAAAAAAAAGTTTTTTATATGGCAAATTTTTCATAGATTTTGATGTTTTTATGGAGAAAAAACTATATATATGTAAAATTTAATTTTAAGGATTTTCGTATTTTTTGAATTGAAGGCAGATAATTGAATGCTTCGTAATTCAAATTTTTAGATTGAAATATCGTTTTAAGCTAAATTCAAATATCGGCTTTTAATATAAATATATTAATATGAGATAAAAACTTATTTTTGTATTTGTTGTTATATATTATAATTATTTAGCTCATAATGCTGAAATATTACAATATGGTTTGGAGATGAAATAGTTCTAAATTATGAATGAATTTGGTACTTTACTAGTATGCAAATCGTAATAATACTATGCCAAAATCACAAATTCACAAATAGAAAATATAAAATAAATGATTTCATATTTTTATTAGGATAAATGATTACACAAATTAATAAATTGATATAAAAAATGATATATCTGTGCGAGAAATTTTATTAATGAATCTTAATCAACTTTATACATCATAGGATAATAAGTAACAGAAGTACCAGCCATTTTTGCAGTTGAAAGCAATTTAAATCCCATATGTTCATAAAGTGTTACATTCTTTTGTTCATGCGTTTCCAAAAAGCAAGGTCTATTAATTGATTTTGCATATTCTAGCATTGGGCGAACTAGCTTGGATGAAATACCCTTTTTTTGCATTGATTTTCGTACCGCAAGAAGATAAAGGAAAACATCATTATTTTGAGTAAGCCCAGATTTATGTTTTGTGGCAAAATCTTCATAATGGCTCATACGATTATACGTACCAAAAAAGTCTGATGCAAAAAGAAATTTCCACGCACCACAATAAATGTGGTTAAATAAAGAGCTACCAGTATAGCCAGGTGGAAACCATTGCGCGAGTCCATTAACTTTTTCTGAGTCAGCGTACAAAATTCCATGTTTACCTGTTTCTTTAATTAATACTTCGATGAGCAAAGAAAGTTTTTTGTCATAGTCTTTTTTTGGAAAAAAAAAATCGTATAAGCTATAACCGTGGAATGCGTCGATACCACAAGAAATAAAACGATCTACATTACTTGAATTCATTAAATAAAATCCTTTTCTTTCAAGAAGACGAATTGCATCTGATTTGGAATAAGGTTTCATGAAAGAGATTTTTCAAACAAAAATTTTTTTACCTTCAAAAATTGAAAATGAAAATACGTTAATTAAAACTTTTTATAAATAATCAATTGAAAAAAAAAAAAAAAGAAGAATTCAAATTTCTTCGTATTTTGAAATAGATATTTCCAGATTTTTTTTTTTTTTTTTTTAATAAAAATAAAGAATATTTATCATCAATAATTTTAAAAAAAGAGAATAAATGTCAGGGTGATTAGCTCAGAGGTAGATGCGCTGCACTTGCCATGTAGAGGCCAAGGGTTCGAATCCCTTATCATCCATTTTTTACGTTTTTTTTTATACAATGTAGCCATAAAACTCAAGACAGCTAAACCACAGATTGTTTCCTCCCCATGGTTCAGCTGTATTATGAAGCCGTACGTAGCGTGAGTAGTCATTTGGCTTGACATCAAAAGTTGCCACCAGATTCGTCCCATTCAATTTTTTGCAATCTTTTTGCTCGTCAATTTGAGTCCAGTTATTACCATCGTCTGACACCTCAACAACCCAGCTCTTCAGGTGATGGCCGATATATTGTTTTATTGAATTAATTGAGTAGTTTGTGACTTTCACTTTTCTCTCCTTGAAGTCGTAGCAGATCCAGACGTCCCACTGTGAAGAGGCGCAGTAGTAGTTATTTCCGTCAAAGTCCAGAAGATTCCAAGGTTCGCTCTCCGATTGGTATTCATTAGAACAGACTTCTATCGTTCCGTTCTTGTGGACGTTTCCGCCAGTTTTCTGAGTGAGGTGTCTGACAATTCCCTGGAATTCCTTCCCGCTCTCGTACAAGAGCGGAAGAGGCTTCACTATGTACCTGCTTGCATACCTCTGATCAGGCACACTCCTGCCATCCTTAATTGACCTTTCTACGATCATCTTCCACACATTTCCGTCAAGGTCGAATGACTCGTAGAACTGCGGCAGGCACTCGCCGCTCACGTTGTCGAATAAGACGGATTTTCAGAGTAAATTTCAATGATGAATTTGAGTAACGAGTCTTCGTTCTCAATTTTGAGTTTATCGTTCTTCACAACTTCCTCAATTATTTCAATTTTGAACTTTTTGAATTCGGAACGATCAATTTCATAAAAGTGGCTAGATATGAATTCAATTTCCTTTGCTGCAATTGAAGCAGGAGAATCCTTGAATTTCGTCTTTTGCCGTATCAATTCGAAGACATTATTAATGGAAATTTCGTCTGAATAGTTGGTGCAAAGATTGAGGCATTCTTGCTCATTTCCAAGTAGGAGGAAAATTTGTCTGTAGTAGTCGATATCTTCTTCTTTGATTTCGCGAGGATTGAAAGAGATCAATGAGAGAATTTCTGAAAAATCGTGCTTGTCTGAAATTTCTTTTGTATCAATTGTAAAAGTATCAATGGTACCATCTGCAAGGTGAAATTTACGAATTTGAGGCGATAAAATGTCTGCTATTATACGACTTGTTTTATATTCTTTGTCATTTACAATAAACGTAAAATCTTTATTGTACTTGTCAAAAGGGAGGTTTCTTAGCACGTTAATATCCAATGAATACTGAGTAGCTTTATTCTTATCCATTTAAAATATCTGAAATGTTATATGAAAAAAGTAAAATTTTCTATTAAACTTTTTAAGGATGAATTATGTTAATTTAATTAGAAGCTCAGAAAGATCATTTGAATCAAGAAAAAATGTTCAAAAAGATTATATTATCAACTGATTGTGTTAATCCTAAAAAAAAATAAAATAAGATTATCAAATAAAAAAATTTTTTAGTAACTATCCAGCCAATTATCATCAAATTAATATCCCGTAAATTTCAAAAGAGTTGAAGAGGGACAGTTAATCTGCATGATTGATTAAGATGTACCTTTCTACTTAATTTCACTAAAAAAGTTGAATTCAACTTTTAAATGAACGATTAATTATTCATTGAATTTGAAATAAAAGAATTGAATAAAAATTGTTTATAAATCTTTTTCATTTTACTTGATTTCCTACTGTTTTATTTAATTATTTTATTATCAAAATAAAATATATGATAATGAATCATTATGAAAAAGTTTTTTATAAAAAATATAATGAAATAAATATCAATTCTTTCATCTGTAACAAATAAGCAAAAAGTAAAGATAGTCTAATTAATGATTTTTACTTATATTCTTTTCAATAACATCTAATATATGAAGAATTCTATTTTTCTTCCTTTCAAAAGGAATAATTGGTTCCAAATACTTCGCATTTGGATGGGAAATTGGCTCTAACAAAGTAATTTCTCTTTCTCTCCAAGATAAAATATCGTTATCAGTAAGAATCTTGGTTGAAATGAAATGAGCAAACATTGAATTAAAAAGGAATCCATAATAGCTAATCAAATTGAATAAAACGACATCGCATTTAGAACTCCACCAGGTGCAATTAATTTCGGTCCATTCAGGAATGGAAATCAGAACAGTACTTAAAACAATTTTCTTAGATAAGATGGAAGTCCTCCATTTTCTAACTCTATACAACAAATGCATGTTTGATGCGATAGCTTGAATGGCTTCTTCTTTTATCCAACTAATATCAACACGTTTATCATCATTGATTGAAACAGAATTAATTCCGGGTATCGATCTAAATAATTCAATCAAATCGGGGATGTATTTTATTGCCTTTACAAGAAATTTTGCAGTGAAAATCAAAATTAATTCATCAGAAACTTGATTCTTAAGAATTTCTTTTATCTTCTCAATTCCATTATTTTCAGGAATCCCATAAAGATAAAAAACTCTTAAAAGTCTCTTTTGAAAATATCTATTCATTTGGCTTGGAAAAACTACATGATTATTCAATATTTTAAACATCTCAACACTTGCCATTTCCTTTGGATCATCTCTAGATTTATAAATGGTGAATGTATTTGGAATGAATGATGAGATTTCTCTAACGTTTAATTCAATGCGCTTTAATATAAAGTTTAGAAGTGAATTTGATTTAGTGTTCATTGCTTTAAAAGGAAGTTTTGAATCATTTACAATGTCACTTAAATTATCCAAAAAAGGAGCAGATGTGATTGCAATGAAATCTAAAACTGGCGACCATTCAAAATCATTTAAAAATTGAGGTACAAATTGATATTTTGCAGGCAATTTTTCATTTGAAATATAAGTTGCAACACGATATAAAATGTCTTGATTATATGTTGCTTTGATCAAATTAAATTCATTATCTTTAAATATATTTGTAAGGAATTTATTGTCAATGAGTTCTTTGTATGGTGTCCTAAAAATTTGACTAGCAGCATCAGGAATAAATTGATCAATGTAAACTTTAAAGCCATCTTTAACATTTTGAGGAGCACGTGTAAATGCAATATAAATAAGTGACTTGCATAATTCTGAAATAAATTTGGATGCAAAAAAACGTGAAGCGCCAATTCCATGCTTATAAAGAACAGAAATTGCAATTGTATATGTGTTTAAATCAAGTGAAGTGTTAAAAGATAAAAAGTCATCAATTGACAACTCATCGGATTTCGTTGTTGATTCATCTGAATTATTTAATGAAGACATTAAAGATTGTGCTGCTTGGGCAATCATTGAATTCGATAATTTGGCATTATTATTAGGAGTTGATTGTTGATTTAATTTCATTTTTTCAAGAAACTTTAAGAAATGAGGATTATTGGTTTCTTGCGATTGATTTGAATTTTTATTATCTTGATTGATACTGGTTGTATCATTAGTTTTTAATGTATTTGATGATGTTTGTTTTTGACTTAAATTTGTGATATTTGATGATGATTGGTTTGAATTTATATTCTTTTGTTGTGTTTGATTAATGTTTTGTATTGATGATTGTGATTGCATTTGGCATAAAGATACTGGTAATTTTGATGAATTGAGATTCATTGGTGGTGGTGTTGAGATTGCTGATGGTTGAGTTGATGCAATGTTTTGTAAATTAGAAACAATTGGCAATTGAAAATTAGAAATAGATGGTGGTTGAATTATGAAAACTGTTTTTTCAATCTTTGTTTTAGCTTTCTTTTGTTTTTCTGATTTCTCTGGTTTATAAGGTTTATCAGAATAATTGACTCTCTTCTTGATTCTTGTTCTAATCCTTGAGCTTGAATTACTGTCATTTTCAATAATGTTTTGTGCACCCATCAAATTTTCCCAGAAATCAGTTTTACTAACATAATCATCATTTGTAGCATCAAAAGTAACCTTCGAAAATTTTGAATTTCCACCGCTAACAACGTCTTTTCTTGTATGTGATCGATGCTCCAAGATTTTATCGATATCTTCTGAACAAAATTTGTCAATTTCGCCCGGATCATCTTTAAAAGTGTAATAGGCGCCCTTCTTCAATATCATTTCAAGCTCGCTTCGATTATATTTAAGGTTTTGACTTTCTGTTTCTTCAGTTGATTTGTTTGAAGCAGAATCGAGAATAGCATAATCTAGAGCCAACTTTTTAGAGGCTGTTAAAAACATTTCAGATTCATAACTTCCACGAGTAATGAGACGATAAACATTGACTTTTTGTGATTGACCTATTCGATGGCATCTTGCTTGTGCTTGGATGTCGTTTTGTGGATTCCAATCACTGTCGTAAATGATAACTGTGTCAGCACGAGTTAGGTTGATTCCAAGGCCTCCTGCTCTCGTTGAAAGAAGAAAAACAAAAACTTCGTCATTTCGCTGAAATCTATCAATTGACGTTGATCTCGACATTGTGTCAGAAGATCCGTCAAGTCTTTCATAAATGTAATTCCTGAAAGTCAAATAGTCTTCGAGAATATCGAGCATCGAAGTAAACTGAGAAAAGATTAAAACTTTATGATGTCCTTCCTTTAGCTTTGGAAGAAGTTTGTCAATAAGAATTGTTTTTCCTGAAGCCAAAATCAATGATTTGATCGTCTCTTCCTCAGTCAAGGGTTGTGAATAAGGAATTTTATGAGTGTCGCGATATTGAGACAGACAAACATCTTCCAAGTTATCGAAAAGGAAAGGATGACAAAAAAGTTTTCTAAGTTGAATCATGATGTTATTTATATTTATCTTTTTAGACAGATGATCGGTTAAAATGTCAGCATTATCTTTGAATAGAAGTTGTGAAAAAGTTCTTTGAATTTGTGTCATTTCAACTTCAATGATTGTTTCTTCTTTTTCTGGCAAATTTAAATTGACATCATTTTTCTTTCTTCTCAATATATATGGTTGTAGAACCTCTTGAAGTTTTTCAATTGTTTCTGTACTCTCTTTATCACCGTATGCTGACTCAAACTCTTCGTAATCTGGGAATTTTGA